AAATCAAATCAAATCAAATCAAATCAACAAAGTGGTAGTTGCTGTATTTCTACCAGCATTTAATGGTGCCTTTTTTATTTCTATACTACACCTGAGGAAACCCTGAATAATCCCTCAGTGCACAGGAAACCTGCCAAACAAATGTATTTGGATTAAAACGTCACCCATTGCCTTTGTTTTCTCTTCTGAATGAGGTTGTTTGGAGCCTGTCAGATCTTCTGAATTCTTGTTTCCTGACCTGTCAGGCTTCAGTTTAGTGATGGCATAGTGACTTAATGTTGTTATTACTAACAAATGATGGACAGAACTACAACCCAAACTATAATAAACTTAAATTATCCTGTCCCTGGGTAAAAACCTCATGTCAGGGAAATCCTAGTTTCTGTAGCCCTAAATCTAATTTCTGGAGCAAACATTCAGGAGTTTAGTTGTAAATTCAGCCTCTGATATTATTTCCTATGTCTAAGGTACAATCACCCCCAAATCCACCCAGCCATACTCGCACGGTGTGGACAGGACACAGTGGGCTGAGAGCAGACCACCAAGCTGTCAGTTCCCAACCAGAAGCCAATGTGCATCTCCGTTTCACATACACATGTACAGATGTGGCTGTGCCTGTTAGGGCTACGCGCCATTTGTCTTTGGTTTCTACTGTTTTGTCTTCTCTGGAAAGTAACTTGGAGTAAGCAAGGAAATGAAAGGAAGTGAGGAAAGAAGTGAATGACGTTTGTGAGACGTTTGAGACAGTTGTTTGCTTATGTGGTAATAAAAGTCTGCATGTTCGACATGGAAGTGTTTCCAGATCTGAAGTGAAATATGACCTCTAAAGAAGAGAAATGTGAGAAATAAGTCAACACATTAGGAGTTTGGGCTCATATGAGCTGTAAAACTGGCTTTTCTTAGCCTTTACAACTAGAGGGAACCATGGAGGGAGGAGCTGCTGCCCATCAGCCATGTTGTTTGTTGCTAAGTTGAGCAGATTGTTGACCTAATAAATGTCTCTGTCCTGTGGCATTAAGAAAACTGTGATTGGCTGCTTTTGTGTTTCTTCAGACCTTAATTGTTTCCTTTTTTTGACTGCCTGGTCGTGGCCACAATAACAGCTTCCAGCTCACAAAGCAGAGCAGAAAAAGGAAAGAGGGAGGTAGCGAAGGAAGGAGAGGACGAGTTGTAAAGGGAAACATGTTGACAACATTGTTTTCCTGTTGATTACAAAGAGCTGGAGGCTGTTTACAGTACAGTATGAGTGGTCAGCTCAGCCCAGCTCGCTGTCTGCATTTTCCACTCGGCAGGATGTGATGTAACCCTTCCTCTGGCTAATAAACTGGGCTGAGCGGCTGCAGAGAAGCTCAGGCGTTAACGTGGGTGTAGGCCTCTCCTGTTACAGATGGTTTATGGGATTATGTCCTCACTGAAACAGAGAGGGAGGAGGGGCTCTGTGTGTCTAAACCTGGATCACACTGGATGATGAGGAGCAGAAGCTTCACTGCTGGCCGTCCACTACTATGATGCTGGTGGACCACCTTTCCAACGTGTTCCACTTGTTTCAGCCTGTTAATGTGTTTTCATCACAGACGGTTCCTTGACGGGGCTTTCTGTCCGTTTTCTCCACTGTACTGGACAGTAAAACAGTAGTGCCACTATGAATGTTGGTGTCATTAGGGTTCTGTATCTCAT